GTTCACGAGCACTGCAGGGAAGAAGTGGTCATAGACATAGGTCCACATATCTGGTTAAATAACTCCCCATTTTCCTGTGCGATTGTAGTTACGAAGATGAGTCAGAAAATTCGCAGACAACTGCCAGAACGCAACCGCGGGCCTGTCATTGATCCGGCCAATTACCTAGTGGGACCTGAAGCCTCCCGGTCTCCAGTAAGTCCTTGCAACTAGCGCGTTTACCTTTTTCTTTAGGAAGCACTGCCAAATGAGGTTTTCGAACCATCGTTCGACACTATACCTTCCGGCGATGACGACGGTAAATACTACCTTTTCACACAATATCTTCAGCAGAATCCTCCCATGGCACACTCGCGACTGAAAGCAGGCCAGACAAAGAGAACTTGTTACTCATGATATGCCGCCAAATGGCGGAAATGAATGTTGACCTTCGGGAGTTATCGATACGCACAGACGTACGCCTAGGCAAACTTTAGAAAGGTCAGCGGCGGGGGCTGGGTCGCCTGCGGCTACTGGAGGGGCTGATTCGTCATTCGCCAATGGTTAATGCAGAGGCCACTGCAAGTCTACGACAAAACCCCATCATGCAGCCATAGAAATCTGCTGCCGACTTTCGTCAGCTCAACAACATGCTGTTGGACAGCACTTTTAGAGAGCAGCTTGTAAGCTGTACACTTGATAATGATTACTTGCATTAGATTTCATACCCCAGATGCCTAGGTGGCAAGACAATCCAAGACTTTGTCAAAAGGATTTTTTCTGCTGTGTTAGAAGATGAAATAACCACCTTCATTAACTGGAAAGGACAAGATGAAAAATTGTCCATTTACAAGTCATCGTTTTACTACGTCATAGTGGGTATGTCTCCTATTAACTGCTTGACTGTATATGCTTAGACCTATTCGACAGTTGGAATACTGAGAGCAAGTACATTCGCACCAATCTAGACGACGCGATACGTAGGAAGCGGAAAGCACTGTTCGATACCCACTCTCAGCATGTTGCGAGAGAAAAGAAAAATAATAAGACAAATAGTAAGTACACTTACAAGGTCTTCAAGTACTGCTGGCCCTTAGGCGCCACGGACGGACTATCTACTTAATGAACATTGAGCTCGCCTGTACGACTTTTTTCGTTTTTTTGTTTTTTTTAATAAAGTTTTCTACTAATAGAAGACTTCAGACTTCACCTTACTACGAGTCGATGGGGCTTAAACGTGTAAAAGGGGTCGTTCGCGAAGTAAAGGGATCCACTGCCAAGCATAAACCGCCATTATCGTCAATTGCCCAGACCGACTAAAACAGTCGGCTAATAGTCGACTATTTTCTGGCCAAACTAGACGACTTTCAGTCGACGGACCGACTAGGAATAATCGATCTTTAGTCTCTTTAGCCTCATTTACTCTTGAAAGTGCCTAGAATTGAGTGAGACTTTAGGCCGGAATAAGATGAAGGGCAGTTAGGACACCTCGTCTTCATATTGTCCTGCCGGCCGCCAATGCACGCGGAGTTAAGTCGGGGCCCTGCTCGATTTTGGTGAACAGACGAGACCTGATTTCAGCATCGCAAGGGGACTGCAGAGCGCTCGCAGCTTGAATGTTTCACACTGGTGGTTGATGATACTGGCGAACGTCTCGTTCGTCACCAGCTTGAGGCTCTGGAATTGCATATTGAACAAGAAAGAATTCTCCACGAAATTCTCTAAAGGGTGCAGGTGGAGTCACGAAGACTTTTCGGCAGTATCATGTCCGTGTACCGCTCGTGTTCTTTGGCACTCAATTCGCGAAGTAACAGGCGTACCCTGCAAGCATCATCATAATATTTGGCAAATTTCACATGGAAGATGTGTTCCCAACGTTTAAACCAAGCGTCGAAAGTCACGCTGGAGTCGGGATCATCAATAAACTTGGTGATGGAGACAACAGCTGTGTTTGCTGGCGTGGACTGTTTCCTAGAAGATTCTGGATCATGAAAATGCAAACTGAATTTTTGCATCATGGATTCCATCATCTTCAGGCTAGCCGCCTTGAACTAAGCTTGCTGTTGCTGCATGATAGTCAGCAATTGTTCCGTGGAGATGGACATTGTGAGTTCTGCGTCGCCCATGGTTGTTACGTTACCAAAGCTGAGAGGTAACCGTCCAATTACGCCTTGTTTAAACCCTAAACAACAACACAAAAACTAGGGCATCAAAGTTAAAGTCTATTAGCGTACCTAGTACAGCATATTTATGGCAAGCAAAGCGTAACAAGCTCGGCCCCATCAGATCATATCCTCAAGCGAGTAGCGACTCGATTGGCTTTGTGACTTACACGGCTGCGTGTCAGAGTCCTAAGCCTGGCCACAGCTTTGCGCGACATCACCTCGTGCGCCGCGTAC